GACGGTCTAGGACAGGGAATGGGGTTAACAATTAAAAGTAAATATGACCAAAACTTTATAAATATATGTACTCCAGGACAATCGCTAAATAACATTGTTAATAAAATTAAACCACAAGAATTGGATAGTTTCACTAACATTATTATTTTATGTGGTGACAGTACCTTAACTTCAACAAAAATTCAATCGGAAACAAATTGTAAAATGATAATTAGTGCTTATCCTTATGTGCATAACTACAGTAAAGAACAAAATGAACGCATATATAAATTAAATTTAAATATCTATAATTTGATATCTCATCATAGCGATGATATTTTATACTTTGACATTAACAAATATATAAGTAAATTTAAGTTGACAATAGATACTATGTACCTAGCAAAGTTATATAGGACTCGGATAGCTACTCTGTTAGCTTTCAATTTACAAAATTCTATTATAGTTGATATAACAAAGTCTCATTACTGTGTTAGTAATTCTACTAACGTAAATAGTACTATACCCATTTCCAACTCAGTTTTAAACTAAAGGGTAAGACAACAGTCAAATCTAATAATTTTAATATTATTCATCAAAATATTCAGGGTTTGACTGGCAAAGATTTAGAATTAGAATTATTTGCAAAAGAACATGATGTTCATATATATTGTTTAACGGAGCATTGGCTGAGGCCTTGTGAAAAGTCATTTCATTTAAAAAATTTTCAAATGCTTAGTTCATATACACGTAGGAGAGCCCAGCGGGGAGGATCATTAATATTTGTAAATAATAATTTCAAGTTTAAGGAGCGTAAAGATATAGTGAATCTTTCAGTTGAACGTCATATTGAGCTATCTTGTGTGGAGCTAAATAGTATGATTGTAGTATGTGTATACCGACCCCCTGATAGTGACTATGGAACTTTTGAATCTGTGATGGAAGATACACTTAGGAAATTACAGACAAAAAACAAATATTTGGTTGTATGTGGTGATTTTAATGTAGATCTTCTAGTGAACAGTTCAACATCCGTTCGTTTGCTATCATTATTTAAATGCTTCAATCTTTTTAATCAATTTCTTGAGCCTACTAGAGTAACGGCACATTCAGCCACTTGTTTGGATAATGTATATTCTGATTATGATCCGATTAATAAACTTGTATTCAACGATCTTACATCTGACCATTACGGACTAAAGACGACATATAGGATTAATATCACTAATGAGCCAAAAATTATTAAGTGTACACCAATTACTAAGATACGCCTAGATAATTTTAAAAATAACATAGATGAGAAACTAATTCAGATGGTATGGCCAAATGATGGTCCTGATGATCTTTATAGTAATCTATTCTGCCTTATAAAAAATGAATTCGAAAAGGCTTTTCCGTGTAAGACCGTAAAAGTTACACAGAAGTTACAGTTCTGTGACTGGGCTTCAACAGGTATTTATAAAAGTAGAAACAAACTTTATGAATTATACGCTTTAAGAAAATATAACCATAATCAAAATTTCATTGATTACGTGAAGAATTATTCGAAAGTATTTAAAAGGGTGTGTTTTGCGGCAAAGTCAAATTTTATTAAAGAGAAAATAAAGAATTCCAATAATAAAGTCAAAACAACTTGGAATATAATAAACCGTGAAACCGGTAAGGAGCAAATACGTGAAGATATTCTGACACTTAACTTTAATAACACGACCATCAAAGCTCATGATAAAATTGCTAATATATTTGATGAGTATTTTTTAAACATACCTATTGAAACAACATCTGGTTTAAATTCTTCACCAACTGCCGCAAAGGCTATTTTAGAAAAATACGTGCCTAAGGTAGACAGCCAGTTTAAATTTAAATATATTAGTTTCTTAGATATTATTAAAACTTTTAATTGTCTGAAAATAAAAAACACATGTGATTTATGGGGCATATCTCTTAATATTATTAAAAGTATAGTTCATGTTATAGCCCCTTACTTGGCTGATGTATTTAATCTTTGTATAAATGAAGGAATTTTTCCAAATCTTATGAAGCTAAGCAAAGTTATACCTCTTTTTAAATCGGAAATAGGGAAGACCATAGTAATTATAAACCTATATCAATATTACCGACGTTAAGTAAAATCTTTGAAAAAATAATTCTTGAACAGTTATTGTCTTATTTTAATTTAAATAAATTACTGCATACTAAACAATATGGTTTCACAAAAGGTCGCTCTACTGCTGATGCTGGTATAGCACTTCTTAAACATATATTCAGAGCTTGGGAGGCGTCACAGAATGCTCTTGGAGTATTTTGTGACTTATCCAAAGCATTTGATTGCGTTGAGCATCGAACACTAATAACGAAGCTAAATTACTATGGTATCAAAGATTCCACCCTACAACTAATATTGTCGTACCTCAGTTGCAGAACTCAAACTATCGATATTAACGGTGTGAGATCATCTGGATCACAAGTAAAAATGGGAGTTCCCCAGGGATCTATTCTGGGTCCCTTTCTGTTTCTAACTTACATAAATGATTTGCCATTTTTTGCCGAAACTTTATGCGATATAGTATTGTTTGCAGATGATACTTCTTTAATATTTAATATTGATAGATGTAAAAATAATTTTGACGATGTAAACAATGCTCTATCACAGAGTATGACCTGGTTTACTGTAAATAATCTCCAGTTAAATGCTAAAAAAACGAAATGTATAAAGTTTATGTTACCTAATGTAAAAGCTGAACTTACAGAAATTAAACTTAATAATGAAAAGCTCGAGTTGGTTGATTCAACAATCTTCTTAGGTGTAACGCTGGATTCTAAATTGCAATGGCATCCTCATATTTCATTATTGGCAGGAAAACTAAGTTCAGCTGCCTTTGCAATAAAAAAAATTAGGCAACTTACAGATGTAGATACCGCTAGGACAGTATACTTTAGTTATTTCCATAGCGTTATGTCATATGGCATTCTGATGTGGGGTATGGCTGCAGATATAGAGTCTATATTTATTTTACAAAAAAGAGCAGTAAGGGCCATTTATCAATTGGGTTCAAGAACGTCACTTAGAGATAAATTCAAAGAAATTGGGATATTAACAGTGGCCTCCCAATTCATATACAATTGTATACTCTATGTTAGAAACAATATTAACAATTATATTAAACATAGTCATGTACACAATTATAATACTAGAAACAAAGATAAACTTGTTTTGCCGTCATGCAGGCTAAAGAAGGTTCTATCGTCATTTATGGGTCAAGGTGTACACTACTATAACGAAATTCCTATGGAAATTTTAAATTTACCATTACCTAAGTTTAAAACCCATATTAAGAAATGTCTACTCAGTAAAGGATATTATACTATTAATGAATATTTAAACGACAAAACTACTTGGAGTTAAATATGGCTCATTTTTCATATATATTAAATTGTTAATCGGTGAGCTTCTTTGGCTACAAATGCGATTGGATTGACGAAAATACTGTTTTACTCTTAATATTGTGTAATATTGTAATGGAAAGTGACTTCAAATTTTAATGAAGTCATTTTTCAATCTTGACGCTCTGTATGAAATAAAACAGGGAGAAAAAAGCAGCCCTTGCCGAGTTTCTTGCCGGTTCTTCTCAGTACAAGGTCTCCCGCCGTAGATTTACGAACCGTTGGCGTAGCTCTCGACTTTCACAAGTGCTTGTAACAGCCTAGACTGAATAAATGATTTTGATTTTGATTTTTTTATTTTTTGAATGCCGCAATATAATAGTGAAAACTGCATTTAAATCGGTTCAGCCGTTTCTGAGATTATCGTGCACAAACGCACAGACAAACAGACAAAAAAATTAAAAATCATTGTTTTGTGTTCTATTACTCTTATAAATGTCCCTCATAACAGTTTTTTTCATATATCTTCAATGTACAGACATCGATCGGTTACGTTTTTATTATAGTATAGATAGATATAGTATAGATTTCGAACACTGTCATTAGCAAAAGCTTTATTGTTCGCTGCACGAATGTATAATCAGTTTGTTTTTGAACTTTTGACAATCATGACTAATTAGTTTCCAGTGATGGTAGGTAAATCTGTTTAAAATATTGTGACAGCAGTTTGTCACTTTTAATTCATATGCCATTGAAGTGCCATTATTATGTCAAGATTAGAAAATTCGAGGCATGTTGTGTGAGCGTCATGATTTAGATAAGTAAATAGAGAATAGTAGCCTAATTTGGAATAGTAATTATTCTTAATAGAAATTTTAAAACCTTTTTAAACAATTCAAGAGAATTAGTAACCTTTTTTGAGTTTGATGAAACAATTAACTGCAATACGATTCCCATAATATGCCTTTGTATCTCCCATATATGTCGCCTGCCTAACATATCCAAACGATTTTAAGACAATATGTCACAACACAAAGCCAACTTGACCACGTTAGGTGTTATATTACGTCTACGTCAAACAAAACGCTTCCATTACGCTCTTTTCATATGATTTTTTTGCACACAGTACTAAATCCCTGAGGACATAATCCGTGTCCACAAGGAAGGGTTTACTCAAAAGACAGGCGTGAAACCTACACTCACAAGCAAAACAATATTATTTACCACTGCATCTGCCACATGTAAATCTCAACTTTAAAACAATACTGAAAGAATTCTTATTTGTGTAACTTATCTATTGCAGCTGCCAATTGATGCAGATGTAGATAGCGCATTACGTTAATTTCAAAATTTCCTAAATGCTAGATAGCTACAGGTACAATCATTTAATATTTAAAAAAAAATATTGTTTGTGTAAAAATCATAGCTAGTTCCGTTAGATCGCTATATAAACAACAGCTTTACCGTTTTATGACACTTGCAATCGCGTTGCACTGATGGGTGTGCTGCACTCCACCCCATCCCTGATGGGGCGTGGTCAAAAAGTACCTGCAGGACTTATAAATAGTACAGGGCAGTCGGAGCTCATTCGCGTCTTATACGAGTTGTGATACGGACTACCAAATTATAACACCAAAATGGCTCTACGACTACACGAACAGGAAGCAGCTCTCGATTTGAGCTTATCTGCAATAAAAAGGGAACAATTTTCGCCATCTGTTGAAAGTTTTCTCAACACATCTCCAAATTATTCGAATTTTAATTATGGAAGACCACAGTATATTGTTTCACCGAATGTTGAACAATACTATTCCGGCTATACTGATCAGGCTCTTGTGCCCTCGGCTCACGTGTCACCGTCCTCGATCGACGGCATCGCGCATTTGTCACCACCTTCGATATATGAAGCTGAAGTAAGTAATCAGTTCCAATATTATAAGCCAATCGGATCAGCACCATCGCCGCCAAAATCACCAGAAAAATATGACACCGAGTCTTTAGACGACGATGTTGAATATCGGGCATTTGAGAGAGACGCTATGCGAGCGATGACAGTAAAGAACGGTGGATCCCTGTTAGGAACAAATCCACGCATGCGGCGTATTGTCCAAACAAATCAGGCGGCAGACGATAATTACAGATTACAGCGTGAAAGAAATAACCATGCCGCAAAACAGAGTCGCGACAAAAGGAGGTTACGTGAGGTGCGTTTAGCGTTACAAGTGACATTTTTAAAGAACAAAAGAGACGAACTACGAGCAATGTTGGCCGCTGGCATTTGCGTTCGATGTCGTCACAGATCGTTGTAATATATAGATATTAAATATTTAATGTAAGTAATGTGTATTTTCGACTATGTAAGAATCTTGTTGATAAAATAATTTAGAATATTAGTATTGTATGTACCTACATATTTTAATTGCTTTAGTATTAACGTTATTTTGTATTTATTAGTTTTAAAAGTTTGATTTAGTGTCATAATATAATAATCTAGAAATTTGAGTTGAGTATATTTTATATTGTTATGTACCTTTAATTTAATGAATGTGATGTGTAGTTTTAAAAAGTAATGTGTAGTTTTGTTTTCGTTCTGTTTTTGCAAAGGTTCTTCTATCATAAAATCTATTAAGCTCCATGAAATTAAATTGTTTTATTTACAATTTCCTTAAATAGCACAGACGACGTCACGTGACGTGTCACGTTCCTTACATTAAAATAAAACATTACATTACCCATATAAAGCACTACTCATTAAATTAAACCTGTGAAAGATCCGAAAAATACAATAATTTTTCAAAAACATGCGCGATAAAACCCTTTGAGAATAGTTTTATTTGATCTGGACTTATGTTTATGGGTCACAAATTAAAATTTGATTTGTAATAACTAGCTATTGAGCTTTGTACATTTTGATTTTGATGTAACCGAAAGGGTTCCATGATAGATATCGGCACGCGACAACTTGTGAAAACGAATTTGCAAAAGGTTCAACACCTATTAAAGGATTGTTATGATTTTTACATTCGCAACCTGTTGCGTCGCTTGTTTCCACATTGGGTTTCAAAGCTTCAAAGAATATTTTTTCGTTATTATATCTCGAATATAATAACGAAGCCTATGTTCAGCAGTGGACGTCTTCCGGCTGATGATGATGATGATGATGATGATGATATCTCGAATTTATACTATTTATGTAGCTTTCCTACCATATAGCTATAGCTTCCATATGTTTATTACTATTATTTATTTTAGATTTTATTGATACCTTTAATAAACCTGATATTTACACGTGACACACTCATCGATGAACCACTTAGGGTGGTATAAGATTGCGCGGTGATATAATTGCGCACTCGCAATAATAGGAAAGCGAACTGAAGTTCGCTATTAATTTCAATAGTGTTTTGTTTGTTTGTATTATGGTTAAAATAAGATAAAGAATCGTAACGGTTTGTAAATGTTTTTTAATTTGCATTACTATTTTAGTTTTGACATCAAACAAAGAAGTAGTTTTAATTTTGTTAATTTAATATTAACTTGCTATTTATGCTTTCTACTCCAAATTTATTCAATACTTATTATTGTTTTACATTGTTTAGCAACTTTAAGAAAATGAGATCGTTAGGTATGTTCTGAGAAGACTATGAAGGAGGTTCGCAGACGAATAGATAATGGCGAAAGAGAGAGGTCCGTATCTTTATCGTTAGAAATGGACAAGTCAACTTACCGGTTTCGTTTACACCAGCCAAAAGGTGCAACAAAATTAGGTATAGATCTGATACCACATTTTTAACCGAGGTCGAAAAAGATTTCTGCAATCATCTGCACATTTTAGATGGAATGTTTTACGGGTTAACGACAAAAGGAACATTGGTGGTATGAAAAGTACTCTGATTACAATAGATTCGGAGCTTTTATAGGTGATATATACCATTACTGTAATCGCGCAATCTTATCGACTGCAAAGCGGAATCTTACATACTGGAGTGTATAAAATTGAGCAAATTCAAATGCATGATTCTTTAATTATTCAGAAGTTATATATCTTACGTTAAAATGAGTATGTCAGTTTGTAACCTATACAATAGGGACAAATAAATAAACAATTAATCTCGCATAAGATTTAAATTTTACAATTTATGAGCCTTTAATTTTAAACTGCGCAACCTTATACCATCCTACGTCCTATAGTTCCCATTTCATGCTAGAGATCAGAAAATCAAATAGCCACACGAGTCGCATTCTCTAACACTAGTACACAAGAACAGCAAACAACGATGCAAACTTGATAGATATGGAAGGACTTTGCTCTGACGTAGTCCGATGTTGTACAAACATAGAGCACTTGTAGTGACTTCCAACATTGATCCAACATTGAAGTAGTATTCACCATATACAATAAATACTTACAACTTGCCCATTTCCCTGATCCGTAAAAGACACAGTGATCATCCTCAAAAAGCCAGGTAAAACCGACTACAGCATGCCAGTCTTACAGGCCAATAGATTTATTTGTCGTGGGAAGAATCCCACAAAAATGTTGATATGAAGAATAAAATAGTATATTTTAATATAATAAAATAACCCCAGACAGTATCGTTTTGTGCCCTAAAGAAACACCGAGGACTCCCAACATACTAGCGGAGGTCAAACTGACAAAGATTGTCTTGTTGGACATACAGAGAGCCTTCGACGATGCTTTGTAACCACAAATCTATAAACAGCTCAAAAAAAACGATGTCCATTTAATCTGTCAAGGCCGGTAAGTAATAATTTAAACGATTATTATTTATTTATTTTCTTATAAAAATTTACAGACAAATACGAATATTAGATTAGACAGTAAATAATTCATAAGCTAATTACAAATCTCCACTTATAAGAGATAGGAGAGTGACTCTGAAGTATGCAGGGGAAGACACTAAGTAATTTTTTATGCTATGAAGTTAAAAAACAAGTAACAAACAACCAATTTTTGTAAAAGCATTTCAGTAATTCACTTAGATAAATATATTTTACTATTTCCATAAAATTAGTTCCATAAGTGCAAGGACACATCAGCAGCGAATTAATGCTGTATAAATGTCTACTGCACGCAAAGAAAAATATTAATAAGGTAAGAAAAGCAATAAAGATTAGAATACGTAAAAGATGATAACAGTGATATAAGTAAGTACTTATGCAGGGAAGAAACCAACTGTATAGTTTTAAATATAGTATAGTAAGTAAAAAAACTATAACAGAACAAAATGACACTGTACATAAAAAAAATGTACCTATGAAAAATAAATCTCTCTTACAGTTGCCAATAATTCAACCGTGTACCGTCTGTTATATGAAATAAGTAAGTACATTCCCAAAATCGATCATAATTCACAATTGAAGAGTGCACAAATATCAAAGCTTCTTTTATAGCATGACAGAAGTATGGTGGACCACCGTGACGTCATTATTGGTCACAGTAAAGAGTTGTTGAATATCCGGAAGTCGGTGACCAATACAATGAAACCTCTATAGATTCATCACTGCGACAGTTGCGTCGTTAATAACGCATGGCGGACCTCCATCAATAGTTGCGATGGACATGCGGATCATTTACTATCCAAACGCATCCATGCGAATGTTGCACGTAATAAAGAAATAGGAAATGAATCATCTACGATTCTACGTTTACAAAGCTAATTGAATTATTTAAACGTTGAAAAATGACCGACACTTACCAAAACTATAGAAAATTTTTGGAAATCATGACAGAACCGTGTTTTGTTAGCCTTCCGTTTTGAAACAACCTTACTACGAGTTTTAAGAGTTCAGGTGGGCATTAGTGTTTAGGGCTTCGTACCAAAAATTTCTCTGAATACATACAATGTCGACCGAATTGAAACCAATGTAAATCATGTGGTAGACCTGCTAATATCTGTCTGTTAAGCCTTGAATAGGTAGCATTTTGTTATCTGAGGCTATTTGACTACTTACATGGAAATAAAAATTCTTATTGTATCATCATTACTTATCAGGAGCGAGAAATACTAAAATATTTCCTGAGTGAATATGGACCACTGACCACAAACTACGACATTTGAGACGACACATAACCAGCCCAGAAGATATAAAAGCGCCTTAAAAACCAGGAACATCATAGACTTATTGGAGAGTACCAGACTGAAAGAGCTACTAGGTACTGGTTCTGGCGGCGAGCCACAATAGATCTGTTAGGTCGCAGTGACTACAGTTCCACAAGGAACTGCATAGCCCTTTAAAATTTCGAATAATAGTAATCATCATTACCCAACCAGAACAAAGCCTCTTAGCTGTCCTTCGTTTTAGTAATATAGGTGTAGGTAAATATAGATTGCTGACTAGAACTAAAATCCTTAGAACCGTTATGTAGGCAAAAAACGCAGGTGCTACACAGGATAAAAACATCACATTGACGCGTTACGGATTATCCACAGGGAAGCTGGAACCTTCCAAACAGCTTTAGCTAACGATATCTACAACCATAACTCGTTACAATTCAAATAAAACTCACCTCTAAACTGTCAGAAATAGTAACTAACATAACAGCAAATAGAATTAACAGTTAAGCGTGTATTTGCAGTGTGAAATGAAAATGTTAACAATTGCGGCATTTGGTAGGGCGTTCTTGCAATACATCGATTGAGTCAATTGTAATTATTGTGAAGGAGTTGCGATTAGATGCGCATACGCACAACAGAGGCGTTTCCCTGAATAGATAGCGGGAGTATACGCATGTGAACGATATGATTGACGTCTCATGCTGGGAGGTAGCCAGTTTGCGGAAAAAGGCAGTTATGTGTAAGGCAAGCACAAAAAAGGAACAGTATTTAACGATGTATCTTTATTATGTTTACAAAAAAATTATAATATTATGAGATAATTATGTACCTACCTATATAAAAATGCTCTGCGTAAAAAAAAAGAAACAATTTTAACTTATGGTGGAGTGCTGAAATAAGGATTTAAGAAAAAAATTGCTAAATAAATCGGGAAATTCGAGAAAGAGAAAAGAAAGACAATATTTTGGTACGGTAAATTTGATGAACGGACGGAAATGTGGGTACTGAAACGCAATAATTTAACAAAACGATAAAGTATTCCTAGATCGGCATCAATATTTATTATAAATATTTCAAACGCAATGTTTCTAACCACTACGTACGACTTTGGTATCCTGCAAGAAACAGCCTCGAACAGGGAGCCGATAGCATTAGAGGTCCAATCAAATAAAACCTGTTTGATTGAACCTCTGTTGCCGAGACAGCACTATGATAATAATAATAATAATAATAATATTTATTTATTTCCACCACAAATAACATTACAAAAGGATGTACAATAAGATTATTCTATTAAGAGTCATTTGTGGGAGACTGGTGCCTGTGTAGGTTCAACCCCGTATTACAGGTCACCAGGCCCCACCCCAAATGAATTAGATAATATGTTACAATTTATTACTATACAACTCTCAAGTGAACAAGCACAACACATTAACAATAAACGAGATACAAAATCAAGAAACTGAAAATTTGTAAAGGAACATCTAGGTATTTTATCCAGATAGATATATACTAGGTATTAAACATTCATTTGTGATTTATTTATTGCATTACTTGAAACAATAATTCTGTATCCGCGTACGAAAGTGTCATAAGGTACTCCTTAAGCTTTTTATGACATGACCATTTATTAAGGGCATTCATAGAAATTTTCCAATTCAGCCTATTGTACAAGAATGGACCCAGATAACCGAAAAACCTTGTAGCATGAGCTGTCCTACA